AAACCCCAAACCCCAAAGCCCCAAAGCCTTTCTTAAGCAAAGACTAGATCGAGCCGCACGCTTGTTGTAGCAGGAACGGCAACCCTAAATCATTCCTGGCAGCTAAAGCTCTGTACCCCCTAAAGGGTTTAGGGTTGAGGGTTCGGGGAAAAGGGGTTTAGGGTTTGGGCTTTAGGGCTGAGAGTTTAGCGGCTTTACAGATCCCCAAACCTGTCCACGCCGTGAGGCATATCGAACCCTATGGAACCAACAGGCCGTTGTAAGCACCCGGAGCCTACAAAACTTCATGATACCGTTGAAGCCCTGTGACTCTGATGTTGGCTGTTGTGTTTGGTCAACCCTCTCCAGCTAGACCCTAAACCCTAAACCCTAAACCCTAAACCCTAAACCCTAAAAAACCTAGCTGGGGCTATTGTGGGGAGTCGAATGTCGATGCCCTTCAGCCGAGGACCCTAACCCCAAAACCCTAAATGGCAACTCTGAGCCCTAAACCCTAAGCCCCACAAAGACCCGAAACCCTAAACCCCTCAAACCCAAACCCCCTAAGAAACCCAAACCCCCTAAACTCCTAAACCCCTAAACCCCTAAACCCCTCAACTCCTAAACCCCTAAACCCCTAAGCCCCTAAACGCCTAAACCCCTAAACCCCTAAACCCGTGAACCCCTAAAGCTTTCCGGAGCCCAGGTCGAAGGTCTTGCTCATTCCGGTGGCCAAGTGGCTCATCGCCTGCCGATTCAGACCCAGAGCCTTGGCGTCCTTGCTTCCTTTTTTTTTTTTTGGGTGGGGGGGGGNNTTCAGGCTTCAGGGTTTAGGGTGTAGGGTTTAGGCCTTAGGGTTCAAGGTTTAGGTTCTGCTTTTTTTGGTTTCTCCCTAAACCCTAAACCCTAAACGTTTTTTTGGGAACTTGGTTTGGGAGTTAAGGCGCCGGAGCCTATTATTCAGGGTTTCGGGCTTCTACCTGAGCTCTGAAAGTGTGGGGTTCAGGGTTTGTTTTGGTTTAGGGGGTTTAGGGTTTAGGGTTTAGGGGTTTAGGGGAGGTGATGGGTTAGGGGGGCTTGGGGGGTGGAGCTTTTTTGTTAGGCTTGCTGGGTTGTCGGGTTCAGCGGAAGGTCCCTTGGTTGAGGTGGGGGGGGGGGGGGGGGGGTGGGGTGGGGTGGGGGGGGGTGGGGGGGGGTGGGGTGGGGGGGGGGGGGGGGGGGTGGGGGGGGGGGGGG